GACATTTCGTATGTGAAATTCTTACATTCTCGACTGAAACGGGATACCAGAACATCAGCTTGCGGATAAAAGAGACTAAGGCGCACTTCTCGGTGTAAGTTTTGAGCCTTCGAGCACAGAGGTGCTTGGACATTATTGTCGCTGCTTTTTGGAGCTTCGCACGTACCTGGGGTCGCGACACTGCCGAAGCCCAGATGCAAATGACATTGGCGTATAGAGAAAGGTTGACTGAACGAGGCAGAGCCCAGACAAGTTCAATAAACGTGAGGATAAACAAAGTAGGGCTGAGGACCCCATCCTGTGCAACGCCACGAGAGGTGTAATGGTCCACAGTTCGGCCTTGCACCTGCATAAAAAGTATCTCTTCAATAGGTTGCTCCGAATCCATTTGAACAGTTTTCCACTGATTTGAATATTTTCCAAGGCATCGAGAATGGCGTCGTGCGCTACGTTGTCGTAGGCCCCTTTCACGTCGAAGAACATAGCCACGGATATGCACTTGAGGGATTTCTGTTGTTGCACAGAGGTCACAAGGCCGATGACATTGTCTATAAAAGAACGGCCTCGTCGAAAACCAGCCATAGCATCTGCATATACATTGTAGCGCTCTACAGGTAGCACTAGAGACGTGTGAGGCCCATTTCACATATCATGAGATCAGAATTAGTCAGGGGCTCATCAAAGCTTCTCTCATATTATGTTAATAATAAAATATCTGCGCGACGATAAAGTTCGGGTCACGTGTTCAATGAACATCGATAGCCACTGAGCGTTGACAGAGTGACGAAGGGAGTTCACGACTTATACACAGTTAGCTTCTGTCCGAGACGTGTCGATGAGAAACAGCGGAGGAGGCAACGTGCTTCGGCGCAGCAGCCTGTTCATGGGGTCAAACTGCGGGTGCCACGAGCGGAGGGCCCGGCATTCGGCAAGGAGCCCCGGATTAAGTAAATCCCCACTCTCTGGCCGCAGCACTGGGGAGACGATCCTCACTCGGACACAACCGGTTAAAGAGAGGAGGGCCATCTCGCCGATCTCCTCACGCCCGCAAACTCCCACGGCGAGGCTAATCGGTCACTCATCGCAACAACGCCTGCATATGCTGCGTGACCTTCACGCCAGCACAGAAGTCGTTCGATCTCTGCTTCTGCTCTCTCGCGTCTTCTGCGAGGACGTGAAAGGGCGCAACGAACGACACCACGCCGAAGCTAACGATAAGCCTACTTAGTCTGGACACGCGGCGAAGCGGCGATAGCGATAGGCATGTATTAGCGTATACAAACGACACGACTTACATGGTTTTTTTGTCGGGTCTCACTTACCACACATCCTTCAGGATTCACTCGTAATGGACACTAATCTCGCATGATCTTTCAAATAAAGGAGCTGGCACTTTCTTGTTTATGCCATTTTATACGGACTGTCACAGTTCACAGAGGCGAAAACTAGTGCAGTAATACGGTGCTTATGAACTATAATGTGAAAGGCCACTCATGCCCGGGGTGCTTAGATTTTATCCGCCCAGCCACCAGACAGTGCATGGGTGACATCAAACAATTCAAGTTAAATAGACATCACTGCATTCACGTATACTCATTAGTGACCACGACGCTCAATAAGAACAATATAATGCACTGAACGGAAGCAAAAAGCACCCACGCATTCCCAGATAACAGCAGTCGACGCAGTTTTCATATAAAACAAGAATTATTATTATTATTATTATTATTATTATTATTATTATTATTATTATTATTATTATTATTATTATTGTTGTTGTTGTTGTTGTTGTTGTTGTTGTTGTTGTTGTTGTTGTTGTTGTTGTTGTGATATCATTACACGGACCCTCTCGCCAGATTTTTGCCGTTGCCATCATGTGTCGTACGTTTATATGCACGTATACACGGGCAGCAAAATAAATCGGAAGCAAAAATTCGGAAGCGTCCTACCAAGGATTCGACCCAGCGCCACCTCACTCCGCAAGACAACTCTAGCACGCACCCTCCAATAGATACCGGCATAATAACGGTGAGCTATTCATGTGCATGTACCGTTTACCACCGGTGGTACACGGAGATGTCGGAAGAGTTCTAGCGTGCTCACGCAACGCTCCTACATTTTCTTTCAATTTGAAAGCTGCCCATGAGACCCGCACGAAAAAGTGTCTCCTCGGCGCCCACGCGCGATGTGGAGCGCTAAAACAATATTAAATGATAAAGGTGAACAACGGGCAGAGCTTGCGTCAGGCGCCAGTACGAGGTAGGCGACGCACGCGCCACAAACAGAGAGAAACAAAGAACTATTGTTAGATCCTGAGGAGTTCTCGCATGAACCCTCAGCGGGGACCCACGGAAACCACTGTCCACGTCCGAGTCGGGGCTCGGACACCGTGATGTGCCGCCATTTCCTGGGCCGGCCTTCTGGATTGCCTGGAGTTGAATATTGAGCGAAGAGCTCCGGAGGGCCTCTTCCCAGTCGCTTCGCTGGATAGAGGGCCACTAAGTAACGCGCGGCATTGCCAAAGCATGTGCGCTGAAGAACAGTAAGTTTCATTGCAGTCCGGACTTGTTGAATCAATCTGTTGAGATACGACTGAGAAATCCCCGCGAAGCAAATGAGCCTGTCTGGAGCATTCTAAGTAGTTTAACTTTCTGTGGCAGCTCCTAGTTCATTATAGTGGCAGCACAGTCAAGGCTACGAATCCGAAACACGTACTTTTTTTACTACGCTTTTGCATATAGTGCGCGAACGCTAACTTTGATGAAGTGCGTAGCAGAAGGAAAACATAAAAAGTAAAGATATAGGTATTATGCTTAAGATCATTCACATTGTTAATAAAAAAAGCTGGTCCCACGCTGGATTTTCATTTTCTGTGGTTTCTTGTTTTCTGGTATCATTTCACCTTCTTGCTGCCCCGGTGAACAACGATGCCATCGCTTGGTTGCTGCAAGTTGACATCGGAGCCTGTTAGCGAGCATGAGTGCGTGTTTCTTAGGCGACGTGCATTGATTGAGCCGGGACAAACGAAGGCAGAGGTGCGCCGTGACACAATTTGTTCCCCGCATATGTAATCACCGAGAAACAAATTATGTGAGAGTGATACTGCCAACAATATGGGGTCCCTTCTCGCGATAGTCACCTTGAAAGTGACATCGGTGACATTCTAGTCTTCAGCAAGACCAGCTGCTTGAAAGCAAAGCTGCGATTGGAAACTGTAAGTAAAAACAATTACCCTTGTAATAAATTGCGTTGCATACGCGGTCGGTGGTATTTCAGGTGCCTCATATTATTCTACCAATCACTCTAAAGCTCGCGTACTGTAACCAATTGGCGTCTGAGACATGAGCGGATTGGGCAAGGTTCTGTTTGGTGTCGCATAAGTCGATTGCCAGACGTGGGGGTATTCGCTCTTGCAGTTCAGGCTTTCCCGTACGGGTCCTACGTAATTCGTTTTGTCTGTGCAGTCCACTGACATCGGCTGTTTTACTTATCGGTCCCTGTGTTCTGCAGAAGTCTGATCTCTTTTTTTTTTCGCTGTACGTTCCGTTCTACAATTCACAAATCGGACTTCAGCGTGCCTCGGAAGTAATTGATATGTGGGGTTTAACGTCCCAAAACCACTATATGATTATGAGAGACGACGTAGTGGAGGGCTCCGGAAATTTAGACCCCCTGGGGTTCTTTAACGTGCACCCAAATCTGAGCACACGGGCCTACAACATTTCCGCCTCCATCGGAAATGCAGCCGCCGCAGCCGGGATTTGAACCCGCGACCTGCGGGTCAGCAGCCGAGTACCTTAGCCACTAGACCACCGCGGCGGGTCGTGCCTCGGAAGTAGAAAATTTACCGAGTTCAGACTCAATGGTGTCCCAAAAGCGGGAAACACACGCGCAACGACGTATTTATCGGGAAAACTGAACGGCGTCGCAAAAGTCGGTACGCAGCGTGGGCAGCGTTATCGTTGTCGCCAAAGTATAGAATACCTCCGTATCTGCGTGGCGTTCTCGCTCCCTGGTGACCCAGGCGACTCGGGCTCATCACGGCACTGGCAAAATACTGCAAACCCCGAAGCAGCACGTAGGTAACTGGCACTCTACTAACGCTGGCACACGACGTACGCTTGAAAAACATCGAGAGCCGATGGAAAAACATTACGGGAAATATGGAACTGCACGAACAAATATAGCCGCCAGATGCAGCGGCAGTCGGGAAACACTGGCCCTCAAGTTACCCAAGTCTTGCAACCGACTCATGCGACACCAAACACATAACCTTGCCGTGGATGGCACTTTGCGGTGACAGACGCTTCATCTGGGTTGTTGACCGTGCAGAAACAGCCTTCTCGGCAAAGTGAAGATTGCGTTTCACTTCGATTTACTAATGTCAAATGCCCGCTCATCATATCTATCTATCTATCTATCTATCTATCTATCTATCTATCTATCTATCTATCTGTCATTCTATCTATCTATTTATCTATCTATCTATCTATCTATCTGTCTATCTGTCTGTCTGTCTGTCTGTCTGTCTGTCTGTCTGTCTGTCTGTCTGTCTATCTATCTATCTATCTATCTATCTATCTATCTATCTATCTATCTATCTATCTATCTATCTATCTATCTATCTAAAAGAACTTCGGTTTCTACGTAGTGGACATCTGCAGCTTCTGCTCGAACACACCCGTGACAGCTGTGACGTATGTTAGTTCGGGCACGCCCCGTGCATACCTGTGCGTTCTTGAGAATTCGTATTTGTGCTTCAGCGGCTGTTCGTCGGTGTTTGTGTGGCATTGAGATTTCTCGCTATGGCATTCAGCGCTTCAGCCTTGCATAAAACTGTTATTATTATTATTATTATTATTATTATTATTATTATTATTATTATTATTATTATTACTACTACTACTACTACTACTATTATCCGGAAGCTCGCCTAGCGTTTCCCAAAACGACAGCAACAACGTTCATTGAAGGCGTGCAAGAAGATGTGATAGACGCACCTGCGCTTGCCGGAGGTAGGCCTCCAATTCCTGGTAGGGGTCGTGCTTGTTGCTAGGCATCATGGCGTTCAAGACAGGACATCGGGATTGGGCCTGTGCGTGGCAGCCCCCTCAGCCCCGTCGACGATGGTTCGCATGTCGTCCGACGCCTGCGAAAAGCAGAGACACCTCTTCAAACGACGTTGCACGGCGCACGCAGATACGCCACCGATAAACGCGACTTGCCGCCGGCCGAGTTTACGCCCGCTTTCATTTCCAAGAGTCTGTCCGCAAAGTTCCTTGCGTTAGCCGGATACTGTAGCCATAAACATGATGATGATGACGACATTGCCACAGGTGACAATTGACCCCAGGCCAATTGACACCTGTCCAGAAAAGTGGCGCCATCTGGCGGGGTCATTTTTTACTAGTCAAGCACGGAGCTCTTATAGCAGAAACCTATAGTCGGATACAGCTTAAGTAGTCCGGAGAAGCCCCGCTTAGATTACCACAGCACGGTGCAGTCGGGAACACGCTCTAAGGACGGGTCACCGGCCGTCCGGCTTATGACGTCAGTCTGGAGTGCGCGTCCATTGATGCAGGAAGCGTGTATGCATCCGCCATTGAGGAGGAAACGCCGGAGACTTCTAAACTTCTATCCGACTATAGTTCATTCTACTTCCGTGGTGGTTTAAATTCGCGACAGTGGCCTAATACCGACTGAGCTGGCTCTTTTAACTCTTTTGTTCCTCGAGGAGACTAGGCGAAAGCTAAGAAACGTCTGTTTGGACGAGGCGTCGCAAGATGTCGGTACCATCAACCGGTAACCCGGTATTGTGTTAACCCCTTTGCATATACCGGAATGTTGGAAATGCCAAGAGCCTCGTCAGCAATGTTCGCTCCGAACGCAGCTGTTGTTTCCTCAATTCTACATGAACCCCACAGTCATATTTTGCAATTGTGTTCGAAAGAAAGAAAAAAGACACTGACTAGTGTCAATTCCCATTGCCACCACATGGTATTTGGATGACATATTTGTAAAATAACCGTCCACACGTTAAACAGATCCCGTGCTCGAGCCCTGTGGCCGTTGTGGTCTGTTTTTATGAATTATCAGAAAAATTGTACGTCTCTGGAAGACAATCCAACCACTTTTATTTCTATTTTAAACTTTTGGCGCGAAGTACGAAAAAAAAGGTATTCATAGAAAAAGCATTATCTTAGAGTTAATTGGTAAGATCGACATTTGATTTATATTTTTTATTTATAGGTACTGCAATGCCACTCCGTGATTTTAGAAGGATGGTACACGAAGCTAGTCATGAGCAAAAAAAAAAGGCAAGTACATAAGTATGTAATACATACAGACTGTACAGTGTATATAGGGCAGATACGAAGCTTCACGAGCAGGAAGATACAAAAAATACAAGAACATGCAATAAAGACAGATAAACAAAGACTATACATATATACAATATGCAATATGATTCAGTTGGTCAGAGCACTTTCAAATTCTAAGCAAAACAATGCCAATAAGGACGCTGACATGCAACAACAAACATCCTTATACTGGTATTCAAAATGCGGTGGAGGGCTAGTTGGTTGGTTAGGAAAAAGTGTTAGTTATGGAACGTGTTAGTTATGCAAAGTTGGTCGTCAGCGCTGGTTCTGTCCACTTATTCTTGTCTTGTCTCTCAGCGTAGCTTTATGTTTTCAGAGGTATTCAAGCATTAAGGTTGCGAAGCAGTGAAAACACTCATTTAAAAAATACAAACTTTTTGTGTTGAAGCGCTCAGTAATGCGCTCAGTAAAAAAAAAAAATCCATCCCCGACCTCAATTAAAAGGGTGTGAAAACACAACCTAGTTGTCAAAGTTTAATCTTTGGTTAACAACTGTTGTTGTTGAGTGGCCGCCCCAGCCTGAGGCAGTAATTCCGCACAGAGACATACGAGCGAAAGCGGCAGACCACATATTACGTATGAAAAGATAAAGTGAGCATGCGCGCGCAGGCAATCACTATTTCCACAACCAGCACTGCACCCCAGGTGGTCGAAATTTCCGGAGCCCTCCACTACGGCATCTCTCATAATCATATGGTGATTTTGGGACGTTAAACCCCACATATCAATCCATCAACAACCAGCACTGTACCACCGAGTCTCCTCCCTTTTACCCAGCCTTTTTACCTGACAGAGAAACAGCTTCATGACTGAAGTGACAAAGAGTATTTTTTCACAGAGTACTTTTTTTGTTTGTTTGGTTTTTTCCACGCCGTATCTGGCCGCCACCTCCTCGGCTCGTTGTGTGGCCCGGAGCTGTATCTGGAGGCTCGGATTGCGGAGTACACTCCCACACCTCGAACGAGAGAGCGGTCAGCACTCGGGAGATCAGGCGGAGTTGTGATCGAAAGATCCGGGCGAGTCCGTCGATCTGTCAAGCGGAAAGATAAACGGGCGCGCCGCCGCCGTCAAAGCCAGCTTCACCCCAATCGAAAGCTGTACGAATTGCGAATCATTTATTCGCCTGTGTTTTCCTTGTACTCGCCTGTGCTTCCCTTGTATAGCTTGTGTTTATTAAATCTGGCGTTTATCGGCTATTTCGCGCCCTTATTTGCTCTTTTGGTGTCATTACGTGACATTTTCTATACCTTTATTCATTGTGCGATTATGTTTTCTCTTATTCTATGCGCTTCTTTTCACAGTTTTTCAAGCGTGTTTCTGCTCCGAACGCGGTGCTTCGAACTGCCGGCGCTGGAGTTTTGCCTTATCCGCTTCTTTCTTCCGTACACATCTTTCCCTCAACTCCGGACGCTTCCGCTTCGCTGGATCAGGCAGACGAACTTAGCCTAGCCCTTCGAAGATCGTTGTATTTCGCAGGCAAAGAAGCACTGGCGTTCCAAACACGCACGCTGGTCGGATTGCATGCATCAAACGTGGGACCAGCATGACGCCCACGCGAATCTGTGCGACGATGACAGGGCGGTACCTTAAAGGGGTGACTGACAAGTATTTGAAATATCTCCGGGTTGCTGGACCAAACGAAAACAAGGATACTGAGAACCCGTAGTGCTCGGGGGTGCTTTGAATGTATTTTAACTACGCCTACCTTACAACAGCGATTTCGGTTTCGCTATATATCGAGCGGGCGGCTTCGCAGTGGTGTGTCAACAACACAAGTGCGACGTCACGGGAAGACTGCAACTCACCACATACTAGCAACAGCTAGCTGTCAGTTAGCTGTCTCTCGCACGTCGATCACATGAAAAAACAACGAATGAATGGTCGCCCAGAGACTCGTAACAGATTTCTGCGACTTAGGCTGCATGCATGCACACAGATTTCGCAAACCCAGAGAATTGTGTTGTCCATTGTGGTGGAACGGGTTTGCAGATGCTGAGCGACGGAAACTTTGAAATCAAAATAAGAGATTTTATACGTTCAGTCTGGCACGGGTGTGTGGAGAACGTTGATGTGCACGTGCACACCGTGGAAATTAAGGTGTCCCTTTTGGGGTGCCTCAAAATCGTGTCTGTGCTGATTTATAGATACTCTGCAGTCACAACAGTGACACCGCAGCCCGGCTGAGCGACACTGTGCGGGACTGTGCCCGACACGCAATGACCGCACCAGCACAGTCGGCCACCGCATGGTGCAACGGCCAGCCCCGTATATAAACACGCATCTGCGAGTGGAATGGAGGAACGGCCCTTGTTCGACGCCCATCAGAGGCGGCGGCCGACCTTGACTTCTCCGCCCGTCGGGCGCTTGCCGAGAAGTGTTCCGTCAAAGCGGAGAGATGCCAGCGGGACGCCGACGGGCGAGGACTATACGAAACGGAAGCAAACGCGGACAACAATAAAACGGCCAGCCGCCATAGAGCACCCGGCCGCGTATTCTGCTTGGCGGGCCTGCAGCGAACGACTCTCGTTCCGAGGCACGACGGATGAGGCCCATGTGGTGAGACGTCTTAGTGAACCAAACTCGTAGAAGCTAGAGCTTCGTGGCATCACCCTCACAAAACAGCTTCAAACTAGGTCTGCTACTCTAAGACGATCATAACAACTTTCAATGTTTTGTTTGTTTGTTTCTCGTTTTTTTTTCGGGGCTTCCAGCTCTTAAAGTAAGCGTCACAGTTCAATTTGTGCTTAGCTTAGAAAAGAACTCCGACAGCACTGGACTGCGCCGTCAGACCAAGAACACTGCATCTACGAAAATCGGACATGCAACCACCGCGCGCGTCGGATCTTCCTTTGGTGAAAACGAAAAAGAGAGAAAAGGAGCACTGCAGCGGCAGACGCGAAGGATCCCGTCGACGGAAAAACACATACAAGAGGCGAACAGCGTCGGAGAAAAAGAGCCACAAAGTGAGGTAATCAGCCAGCATGAGATTCTAGCAATCTTCAGCAGAGCGACAAATTTACGCTGCTTCAAGTTACCGGTGTAGTTGCTTGTTAATTAGCTTTACTGCATTTTAAGTTATTAAACTAGCCATATTAACTAAAATTCGAAGGGCAGATGACACGGCGCGAATCAATACATGTGGAGAGGCTAAGCGCCCTCCCTATGGCTGAGGGGCCTGTAGCCTCCACAATGCTGAAGGAAACTTCTCAAACAGAGTATAAAAGACTTGTCTGTCAAAATTGACCTACTTCGTTTATCAAACGCAATAGCGGCACAAACCAGATAAGGATAGCGTGAGATAAGGATATAAGGTTGGTTGACCAATATATTGGTCATCACTGGCTAAGGCCCGTATACGGGCCTTAGCCAGTGTCGCAGATGGCAGCCGGCAGCGTCACCATTAATATATATATAATTTCTGAAGTATCATATCTTCTCTTCGATACAACACCAAAATTGCAAAAACTGTGGTTCTGCAAAACCCACAGTCCTGACGTAGCTGTGATTGCGTATTCTGCGAAAGTACGGTAGAGCATCAGCCGTTGTTGCCGGTATACGTTTCGACACAACAACAGCGAGCTTCGCTTTCGACACGCTATACTTTAACTGCCGACCAGAACAATCTGGCACAATAAAAACGCGTGCGAAAGCAAACAGGCCGCCGCCGACCTGCTAGGACCTGCACACAAAGTGGTCCGCAGAAAGTTGATTGATCATTCACGGGAGCGCCGCACGCATTGGGAATGTCCTCAATGGTGCCAGCAGGTTC